CTCAGTCTGTTCCTTGCTTCTATGCCTCTGGGTCTATTTTATTCATCAGTTTATTTTGTTTATTACATTCCACATATGAGTGAGATCATGTGGTACTTGTCTTTCTCTGACTAGCTTATTTCGCTAAGCCTAATACTCTCGAATTCCCTCCATGCTGTCCCAAACAATAAATGCTCCTTCTTTTTTACAGCTGCATAGTATTTCATGGTGTAAATGTACCATAGCTTTTTTATTTACTCATTTACTGATGTGCACTTGAGAAGAATGTATATTCTGCAGCTTTGCAGTGGAATGTTCTGTAAATGTCAATTAAATCCATCTGATCTAGTGTGTCATTTAGGGTCACTGTTTTCTTGTTGATTTTTTGTCTGAAAAACTTACCCAGTGAAATCAGTGGGGTGTTAAAGTCTCCCACTATGACTGTCTTGCTGTCAATATCTCCCTTAAAGTCCTCTAGAAGCTTTTTTATAAGTTTAGGTGCTCCTGTATTGGGTAAATATATGTTTATCAGGGTTATATCCTCTTGTTGGATTGATCCCTTTAGTATTATGTAGTGACCTTTCTTGTCTCTCGTTATGGTCTTTGTTTTGAAGTTTATTTCGTCAGATATGAGTATTGCTACCCCAGCTTTTTTTTTTCATTTCCATTTGCATGGAAAATTTTTTCCATCCTTTCACTCTCATCCTGTGTGAGTCTTCTGTTTTGAGGTGGATCTCTTTTAGACAGCATATATTTGGGTCATGTTTTCTTATCCATTCTGCCACCCTATGTCTTTTTATTGGAGCATTTAATTCATTTATATTTAAGGTTATTATTGATAGATACTAATTTATTGCCATTTTAATTTTTTATGCCTATCTTTCTCTCTATTTCTACTTCTAATTACAGCAGTTCCTTTAACATTTCCTGCAGTGCTGGTTTGGTGGTAATAAACTCCTTTAGGCCTTTTTTTGGTCTGGGAAGCTCTTTATTTCACCATCTACCTTGAATGATAGACCTGCTGGATAGAATAGTCTTGGTTTCAGATCCTTGCTTTTCATTACCTTGAATACTTCATGCATTGCCTTCTGGTCTGTAGAGTTTCTGATGAGAAGTCAGCTGACAGCCTTATGGGAGCTCCTTTGTAGGTAATAGATTGCTTTTCCCTTGCTGCCTTTAAGATTCTCTCTTTGTCTTGAATTCTTGGCATTTTAATTATGATGTGTCTGGGCGTGGGCCTCTTTGGATTCTTCTTGCTTGGGACTCTCTGTGCCTCCTGTAATTGTGTGTCTTTTTCCTGTATAAGGTTAAGGAAGTTTTCTGCCATTATTTCTTCAAACAGGTTCTCTAACCCTTGCTTACTTTCGACCTCTTCTGGCATTCCTACTATGTGAATATTGTTGCATTTTATGTTGTCCCACAGCTCCCTTAAACAGTCCTGTTTTTAATTGTTTTTTCTTTTTGGATCTCTGATTGAGTGATTTTTTTTCTACTCTGTCTACTAAGTCTCTGATCCAATCTTCAGCTTCCTCTAATCTGCTTATTCCTTCCAATGTGTTCTTTATTTTTGCTATGTCATTCTTAATTTTCTTCATAGTTTCCGTATCTTTTTTCATGCTGTTGAGCATCCTTACAATCAGTATTCTGAACTCTATATCTGATAGACTGCTTATCTCCATTTCATTTAGCTCTTTTTCTGGAACTTCTCTTGTTCTTTCATTTGAGGCTTATTTTTTTGTCTTCCCATTTTGGCTGCCTGTTTGGGTTTGTTTCTATGTATTAGGTAGATCTGCTAGGACTCTCAGTCTTTTTAGAGTGTCTCTGGTGCAGGCCAATGTAAGACACAGTTTGTGACTGGCCCTGAGTACCCTGTTTGGAGCTATCAACAACCCTCAGTTTGAGGTCTTCTCTGCTGGAGCTGGGTGTAGTTGGACAGGACCAAAGTCTCCTTTTCCAAGGCCTGGGTCCAGAAGCAGATCAGGCAAAGACTCAAAGCACCTAGAGGCCTGCCTCTGCCTGCAAGCTGATTAATCTGATTCTCTTAACGAATCTCAGGCTGTAGAAACTCCTCAGGGTAGGGCAAGAGGTTTTCTAGCAGGGTGGGGCAATTGTTTCCACCCTTAGGCAAAACCAGCAAATTGTCTGCCTAAGAAAGATGTCCTCTGCAGTGTGGAGGAATGAGTCAGCACAGGAATCCAGCAGGGTGCCCTCTGAGCTCTATTTCCTGAGCCCACAACCCTCGATTCTCCTCACACTGCTCCAGTCCACTCTGTCCTCCCTCTACTGGAGCCCAAGGTGAGTGGCTGCACATGAAACTTTGTGTGTTGGCTCTTTAAGAGGGTGCCTGCATTTCTAGCCATCTCTCCCTGGCAGACAGAAATCTGGCTGCTTTTCACAGCCAGATGTTATGTGGGCACCTTTCTCAGTTCTGGTGCTCTGGGTTGGGGGGCCCAGCTTGGGGTTTAGAACCCAGAATTCTCAGTGGGAACCACCCACAACTGAGATCTCCCTTCGGACCTTCAGCCTTTGCCTGTGGGAGCCCAGACAGCCCTCTCCTGCCTCCCCATTTTTTACCTGTCTCTATGTGGTCTCCACTTTAGGTCCTTGGTTATGAGTGTTCTCTCCAGCTCCTCTCTGGTTTCAGTTGATTATTCAGGATGGTTCTTCTATGTTTTAGTTGTAATTCCAGTTTGATCCTGGGAGAATGTCAGTGTAGCTTCCACTCAGCCTGCTGCCATCTTTAATCTCTCAATTCAACATCTTTCTCAATACCAAGTGCCACATCTCAGGACTCACTGGGCTGGGGTGGTCTGGTGACAGGCAGGTAGGACAAGCTGGTGGGGGTGGGACACATGCTGGGTTACACCCAGCTGCAGGCCTGGGTAGAAGTCTGTGTCTGAGCACCTAGAGATATGACACCGGATGAGAAGTAATAGTTTAGGAAAGCTCTCAGGGTCACAAAATCCAGAACACAAACCGGGGATGTCTCATGAGTGTGGTTGCCGCTGTTTACCTGAGCATCCTGTGTGCCTGGAACTTTAATTACATTATTTATCACCTTAAAACAAGGTTTCCCAAAATGTGGTCCATGAAACACAGTGCTGTGAGCACAGAAGTAGCTCTGGGGTCAAATAAGTGTGAGAAATTAAGTGTGCTATTTCCACCCCATCAAAAAAATTAGATTATTAAAGGTCCCTAAAGTACAAACATAAGCAAAAAATAAATAAATATTTGCAACCACAAAGCCTTACTGAAAGCACTTAAGATAAGAATACATAATAAACACTAGAAATGGCATCTACATTCTCTGAAATTTTGAGAAACTTTTGTTAACAGAAACAAGAGAGACAAGATGGTCGCTCAAATACACAAAGTGAAGAATATTTTTCTACAAGTGGGGATCCAGGAGGACGTTTCGACGCAGAGGCCAAGGGACCATGTAAAGGCAGAGCTTGAAGACGAAGAGATATAATTCTCTGTCTTGCTGCTCAAAGAAATCCTGAGCTCCTTAGCAGACTGCCAAAAGAGGCACTCAGAAGAAGTTTTTGAAAAGGCAAGAGAAAACACAGGGGTATTCTGAGTAGAGAAGACGCTGCACGAGGGAGCTGTTTAGCAGTGGAGAGACTCCCATCAGATGGCCTCGATCAGTTCAGTGATGTGGGAGGCCTGGTCACTGCTGTCAGAGGGGGCCAGCAGCATTCGGGAGGGGGGCAGAGTGGGAAAGGCACTGAGCGAGACAGAGCACAGCTGTTCAGGCCCATATGTTTGGGAGTCAACAAGAGATGCATAAAGTTATGCTGAGTTAGAAAACCAAATGTGAAGGATAGTCCATAGAGTGGTGCTTAAGGGCACGGTCCCAGGAGAAAGACTAACCAGGTTTGGGTTTGAATCCCAGATCTGACCCTTTCCAAAAGGTGGTAGGAATTAACTTAGCTAATAGATGTAGAACACTTAGGAGAGTGCCTGGCACATTAGCAAGCACTCGGTAAGCGTTAACTGTTGTTGTTGTTGCTCAAGTTGGGGTGGAACCACTCATACAAGAATCTTGAGATTTTTCTTAAAGAAACATGAGGTTACCTGGGACAACCAAAGGTAAGATCATAGTCATGATATGAGTCATGAACCCAAGGTTGAGGATAGGCCCAGCAGGCACTGTGAGATGTCACAAGACAATGGAGTCTGGATTCCTTACTAGGTACAGAACAAAAGGGAGACATCTGAGCTTCCGCACTTAGCTGAAGAAATACTCAGTGTGATGACAAGACCTAAAATGTTGCCATCAAAATCATGGTTACCACATACGCATTCTTTCAATTCCTTTGACAAAAACAGTTTTGAGCACCTACTTTGTGACAGCCACTCTTCTAGTGCTGGGGATACAGCAGCCAACAAAACACACAAACATCCCTGTCCCATGGAGCCTACATTCTAGTGGAAGCTTTACCTAAACTCCTTCCTCACATTATTGCCTTTATCTCCTTAACAAACCAATTAGGTAGGTATTTTCAAACCCATTTTTTCAGACAAAGAAATTAAACTCTGTCCCAAACCAAATAACTAATAAATTGCAAAGCTGGGTTTCAAACACTGATCTAATTTTAAAGTTTATGCTTATAAAATCTGCTCTGTATTTCATTTCTATGCTGCTGAATAATTTTGGTAGGTGCAGAGGAAAGCCTAAGGGTTGAGGAGCTTAGGACCTGTAAGGTCTGACTGTTAGGCCCCTTCCATGGGTGCTGAGTTCCCCAAGAAAGATGGGAGAAGCTGAGGTACAGAGGGAAATGTGACCTTGGCATTGAAGTCCTGGGAAAAGTGAGAGTGAGTTGTGGAGAGTGGTAAGAGGAAGTGTGGATTTCAAAGCCAAGTAGGTGACAGAGTCATAAAGTAGGAGCAGCCTTGGGTTGCAAGATCAACTGCTTCCTTTTGTTCCTGCTCAGTGGGGAAGGAGTGGGAGAAGTCCTGTCCTCCCTTGTAGAAAGTCTCAGATGCTTTCTTCAGGCAAGGAGATGAAAGAGGCAAGCATGGCAGAAACAGCTGAGGTTGCAAGAGCATCCAGGAGCATCATGTCAGAGGCTCCTAGATGGACGGACAGAGGGCTGGGGTGGGAGAAGGACTTCGTTTTCAAAGAGTTGGCAAGGAAGCTGGGAGACAGGCTGGAGACGCAGGCTAACGGGGGAGCAGGAGAGCACCGCCTCCCTGGAACACTGGGAGAGGGGGTTGAAGGCTGCATGAGCCACATTCCAAGTGGAATGTCAGACAGGGCAAGCCCAACTGCAGACTTACCTGCCTGGGTGTGTACCACTCATTCATGGCCTTTGGTGCTTGGAAAGGAACGATCTGGCATCCCCAGAACCTTCCAGAGAAACTTGACTGTTGCTAGTATACAACACTGAATTCAGAGGTACCTGTGATTGCCACACTGGGAAGAGCAAGGATATTATCAGGTATACACTATTTCACAGCTGTTCCATTTCTTTATAACCTTGCTAGGAGCCTATGGTGACATCAAATCCTTGCTTTAAAATTTCTGAGACTCCTAGATTGTCCAGCTAGCAGGTATGGAAGGGGGTGATCTTGGTAGTCTGACCTGGAGGAGATTCCCCTCAAAATATAAGTTAGAGATTTCATTAGCTGTCTTTTAAAATAGTTGATCTGATCTTTTTGACTAATGCTTCTCCAAATTTGTAATTTTAAAGGTTTTGTTGAAGTGGGGGTAAGGAGGGGTGATTCATTCTAGTTGTACCAAATACTCCTAGAGGTCAGTGGTATAAACATGTAGGGATGAAGAGATGGGGTGTAGGGAGAAGAGAGATTCTAGTTTATAAGGTCTAGAGTGCAAGTACTTCTAAACTTTAATATGTATATGAATCACCTGGGATCCTGTGAAAATTCAGAGGCTGAGTCGGTGAGTCTAAGGTGGGACCTGTGATCTGCACGTTTAGCCAGCTCCCAGGTGCTGCTGGTGGTCTGCAGACCAGGCTTCTGAGCAGCACGGACCTACACTGCATAACTAGTCCAAAGTCAGCTTCAAAAGGTGGCTTGTGTTTGAGGTAAGAAGGCTAGGAACAAATTCATGAAAACATATTGGACATTTAATGTTATAATAGTAGGATAATTGTAAAACTTACAGCCAGAATTGGCAGATTTAAATCCTGATTCTACCATTTTCTAGCAATAAAACTTTGGTCAAATCATGGATCATCTCTGGGTCTTGGTTTTCTCATCTGAAAAAATGGAGGCAATAGGATCTGTCCGGGTTGCCTGACCCCAGGGTGGATGAGAGCATTAAATGAAACAACTTAGTGAAAATGCTTCATCAACTGAAAGTGCTGTCCACGTATTTCCATTATTATTATTATTATTATTATTATTAATTTTAAGCTAAAGAAACCTTACTAATAGCTCCCATTTCCACTGTTTGTATTTTACTAGGCAACATTGCCAAGTGTTTGCATTCGGCTGATGCTGCCTTAAGCAGAGCAAGGATTATTTGGCTTACTCTCCACAACTCTAATAACATTAGCAGCACAATGTTAGCTGCATTTTACAGATGATGAAAGTAAGACTTAGGGCATTAAGATTATGCGTAGGTGCTGTGTTGGTGCTCTGATCTGAACTCAGCCTGACTCTCCAAAGCTCAGGCTCTCATTTTCGATCTCCAGTTGACTCACTGGAACAAACACCCAGCGTCACAGAAGATGGCGATGGTTTGGAATAGCAGTTGGCCGCCTGTTTCGGCGAAGGGCAACGTATTAAATATTTTAGCCTTTGCATACTAGGTAGTAAATATTTTAGGCTTTGCATGCCAAATTTAGGTCTTTTGCAACTACTCAGCCCTGTCGCTGCAGCACAAAAGCAGCCATAGACAATCCGTAAAGGAATGGGTGTGGCTGCGTTCCAATAAAATGTTATTTACAGAAACAGGTGGCAGGATGGATTTGGCCTGTGGGCTACAGTTGCTGATTCCTGGTCTAGAAAATTCAGACTTGTCCAATAGGGTGGCTATTTAGATTTGAACTTAAATTAAAAATTCAATTTCTCAGTTACATTAACCACATCTCAAGCGCTCAATGCACACACGTGGCTAGTGCCTGCTGCTTTGAACAGTGCCGAGGACATTCCCATCATCACAGGAAGTTCCACTGGAGAGCCCTGGTCTAAGTCATCTTTGGGGGTCAGGGAGAAATCTCCTGCAAGTAGCCCTAAGGACATGAAGTTCTGGGTCCTGGCTTTGCTAGTTCACCAGTTATATGAGTCTTGGCAAATCACATTGTCTCCCAGAGCCTCGGTTACTGCACACATAAAATGGGGACTCTACCTTCCTCACTGTGCTGCTGTGGGCACTAAATAAGAAAATATGTGAAAAGTGCTTTGTAATCTTTTAGGAGCTACACAAACACAAGCCATCATTAGGATTCTAATTGTTACTCAAACTGTGAGAAAATATATGGAGGCAGAATTTGTGTAGGTAGCTGGATTGAGAGAATTATATTTTCTTTTAAATCACCCAGTGGAATCTACTGGGATGTCAGAGAGTTACCAGAATAAGGAAATCTCATTATTTGAACAGGAAAGAGGTACGAAAGCAGGCAGATTTCAGAGGCCATTCATCTTTCAGAGCTTGGAATTGCTTTAGTAATGCTTATCACCTCCAGGAAACAGATGCAACTGTCCAGATGGGAGCTGTGATGAAGCTGGGCAGGTCTCAGTGTCCTTCCTGAAAGAGACCAAAGGTTTATTCTTCTCTGTCAAACTCCAAGTTAAAGAGGGTGGAGCTTTTTCCCACTGCTTCTCTTCCCAGGGGTCCCCTCTGCACCGCAGCCACTGTGCACCTTCACGTGGGCCAGAACACAGCTCAGCTTTTCCAGAGTGACAGGCCCTCGGTTACCCAGATGGTTCCAGTCTCTCGGTGGCTCCCCATGCCTCTCTCCTCCCTCCTCCTGTTCCTAATCCCAGCTATAAATCACCTTCCCAGGGAAATCCCTGCATGATATCATTTCCCTTCCCACCAGTCTGCAGGCCCCTCTGGCCCTCGGGATTCTGTGTCTCAGGGTCCTGGGTTCCAGGCTACTCTCCAGTTCTAGGCCGTTTTACTATTGTCACCCATTTGAGTACACAGAGGCGGTTTCTCCCTGTTTGGGGCTGGGTACAACCCTTCTGATTTCTGTCAATAACTGGAAGTTATGTTTGTTTCATATTCTTTTTTGTAGCTTTTCATATGAGCTTCCTGGAACTCGTCTCTCACCTCTCTATCTTCTCTCCTATTTCCTTTCACTTTAGTTTTTCTCACTCCTTAAGTCCTCTAACATCTCTTCTCTGCTCCCCAGCTACACTTGCCTATCTGGCTTGGATGAGGTTCCTGCTCTCAGACGGCCAACTAGGGATGGTGTACATTTAGAAAAGTAATTTGGGAATATTCTTCTAAATTCTTAAAAATCTGTATTTGTATTCTCAGTCGTTCCACTTCCAGGGAAGTGTCCTAAGTAAATTATAGAGATGCACTAAAAATGACTAAATAAGGATATTTATTGCTGCATTATTTATAATTGTGAAAAATTAGAAAAAAACTAATTGTCAACAATAGTAAAAGAATTAGAAAAAACACCAAATTTAAAAATGAAAAGATATATACCAATATATTAACAGTGGTTTTGTTTGTATACCTCTAAGGTATCTATGGTTATCCCTGAAGCACTAGTGATTTTTCTTTTTTGTCATTTTCTATTTTTTACAATGTGCATATATATACTCAGAAAGAGGTTATACAAATAAAGGTACCCCCACCCCCACCCCCAGCCTGCCTATTTTCTATTGCTCACTAATACTTCCATTCAAGGATCCAAAATGCACATTTACCGGCTCAGACAACCCTCATGTTAATCAGAAAAGTCCTTAGGGAGAGCCACCCACAAGACTTTCCCATATATATTTGAGCAGAGAAACCCTAAAAGCTTATTTTGGGGTCCCTTCCAATTGACAGCCAGTTTTGGAAAGAGACGGGTTAAGGCCAAATCCTCTAAACAAGCCTGCTATCAGCATAGGGAATATAGTTGCCAATCTGCCATGAAACCCCTCTTGTCATTAATGCTGAAGAAATGGCTCTCATGAAGCTAAGTGACAAGACATCTCTGCAGATGGAGGAGTTGGGAAGGAACAGCAGCTGACCGAGAAAAACAATGGCTTTCTCTGAAATAGTGATGAGGATGGAGGTCCAACGGAGAAGCAGGTCAGGGCTGAGCTCTCAGGAAGAGTTTCTGGGGTCATTTCTGAGACTTTATGGGGCCAGTAGGATGCAAACAATGACATTTCCAAGTTCAGGGTTGGGGCTGACAATCTTCTCTGCCATTCATATTTTGACCTTATGAATATTTATCGTGATAGGACCTGTGAAGTATTAACTGGGCCCACTATCATAAACTAGGCAGGTGTCAGTTGAAAAGAAGTGGCCAAGACTCTAGTCTCAATTTACAAAAATACTTTGTTTTGTGCTTTCATTATCTTCACTTGCTAAAGATATAAACTATTTAAAGTACTTCCCAGAGTAGAGGAAGTACAAATATTTATGTAAGTACATGAGTGCATTTCTTTTTTTTTCTTTTTCTTTTTTTTTAATATATCTTTATTGATTTCAGAGAGAGGAAAGGAGAGGGAGAGAGAGAGATAGAAACATCAATGATGAGAGAGTCATTGATCGAGCCCACAACCCGGGCATGTGCCCTGACTGGGAATCGAACCCTGATCGCCTGGATCCCAGGTCGACTCTCAACCTCTGAGCCACGCCCGGCCAGGCATGAGTGCATTTCTTAATACCTGATTAAAATAATAAAAACCAACAGTCACCCCTGGCGGGGTGGCTCAGTGGGCCGGAGCGTTTTCTCGTTCACCAAGAGGGTGCAGGTTCGCTTCCCGGTCAGGCACACACCCAGGTTACAAGTCTGATCGCCAGTCGGTGAGTACAGGAGGCAACTAGTCAGTGTTTCTCTCTCACATCGATGTTTTGTTTTTTTTCTCTCTCTCTTTCTCTCCCTTCCTCTTTCTCTAAAAGTCAATAAAAACATATCCTAGGGTGAAGATTAAACAAACAAAACAAAACAATGGTTAACAACTTTTTAAACAGGAAGAACTTTTTTAAAGTAGAAGATTTTCCAGAACCTCTCATATGTCAAAAAAGCTATTATGATGTTAAAGATGTTTTAAAATGCATTTATAGTTTCTTAATAACAGTAGCATATACCTTTGGAAACTTTGAGCAGTATTTATTCCCATAAGCAACACTTATTCTGCCTTTAGAAATGTATACAGATTGCAGGACCCTTTCTAGGCAGGGTGGCTATGGAGTGCCCCCCGCCTCAGAATTCAATACCCGCAGACCGGGAACCACTGCCATCGGCCTCCATCATAAGTATGTTGTGATTCATTCAGAGGTACATGTGAGCGTGCATGTGTGTACATATATAGGGTGTCCCAAAAAATGTATCCACACTTTGAATAATTATAAAGGCAGTGTTTGAACTTCAACTGTGTTTTCAAACTTCCAGTAGCATTTTAGGATGAATTTCCTTTGTTCAAAGCTTAGTCTGGCTGAAAAGAAAGAAACATTGGGCTATCAGCTGTTAAAGTGTGTATACATGATTTTGGGACATCTTGTATACACATATATGCACTCCAGAAAAATAACAATAGCCCAATAGGGAATGGGCAAAGGACATAGACACAAATATACAAAAGGAAATACAAATGAGTTTTATAAATATATGCAAAGATGCTCAACCTCACCCATAAAATAAGATGCCAACTTAAGTATACCAGATTGGCAGAGATTAAAAACTTGAATAATATATGATTGTAGAAAAAGAGTAGGAAACAGGCACTCTCACCATTTTTGCTGGATGTGCAAATGGAGTCAACCTTTTTAAAGCATAATTTGTTAAAATCTATGGACATTTAAAATATACATATCTATTGACCCAGCAACTCTATTTTTAGGGTTCTTCAATAGATGTACATATACACATGGACTCTTAAGTGTATAGGAATATTCATTGCCTCATTATCTGTAGTAGCAATCGACTGGAAACAATCTACATGCCCATTAATAAAGAATTGATTAGCAAATTATTAGACAGCCAGCCCCAGGAGGGAATAACCATTTCTAAAAGGAGGCAGCTTTGTGTGTACTAATATGAAATGGACTCCAAAATAGGTTATTAACAAAGAAATAGTGTGTATAACGTCTTCTCATTTGTATTTTAAAAGGCATATGTATATTCATATAAACATAGCTGCTTATTTATGTATAGAATCTCTGTGGAAGAAGAAAGAAGAAACTAATAAATGTTGTGGGAAGGACATCTGGGATCAAGATGATATGGTAGACTTACTCCTTTCTGTATGGTCTTTTGAACCATAAGACACTTTTTAACTCAAAATTTTTAAATGGACATTTATTTATTATTTGTTTATTTTACACACACATTTGCCTGTGAGCACACACACAAGGGGGCACAGCTACAATGGCTTTGGAATTTCAAAGAAGTTGAAATTGTAGATGCTTTTTGTCCGCAAAGAGGTAGTTAAGTACAGTGGAGTCATATAATACTTGGGAAATCCAGCCTTGGTTTCTTCATCTATACATGTGATAATAATCCTTGTATCACTGGTGAGGTGTCACTGGGTTGTGGAAGTAACAGTGGTAAGGACTAGATATTTCTTAATCTGAACCCAAGACCTGGATATGATGGAAAGAGCCATGGTCTTGGAATCAGAAAAATGAGTCCAAGTTCTAGTGTGTATACTTACTAGCCACATGTATTGGTTTCCCGTGGTTGCTGTAACAAATTACCACAACAAGCAGTGTATTAGAACAACAAAAAAAGGGTTCTCTCAGCGTTCTGGAGGCCAGGGTTCTGCAACCCAGGGGTCAGCAGAGCCATGCTCCTTCAGAAGGCTCTAGGGGAGAACTCTTCCTTGCCTCTCAGCTTTTGGTGGCTCCAAGTTCTCCTTGGCTTGTGGATGCCTCTGTTTTCACATGACCTTCTCCTCCGTGTTTGTGTTTTCTCTTCCATCTCTCGTTAGGACACCTGTCATTGAATTTAGAGCCCACCCAGGTAATCCAAAATAATCTCATCCCAAGATCCTTAAGTTACATCTGCAATGACTCTTTTTCCAAGTAAGGTCACATTGATAGGGTCTTAATATTAGGACATAGACATATCTTTCTGAGGCAACCACTTAACCCACTCACCCCATGATCTTGGGCAAATCACTAAATGTGAATACCTACCTTTATCCACCTCAAGTCTATCATGAGAATTAAAAGAAATAAAGTGCATGAAATATATTTGTAAAGAGTTATATGGATGTTAGTTATTCCTACTGACTTGGCCAATCATTTATACAAAGATTTCAATAAGAGATTGATCTCCACTCCAACTTTTTCTCCTTTCAGTTTAAAAACAGTTTTGCTGAAACAAGAATTTCAGACCAATTTTTTTCAAAGGGAAGGAGAAATATTTCACAATGTAGTTACTGAAGATAAGAAAGGTTTGGAGATAAATCATTTTCAGCTGTGTGCAGGCACAGACTTGAAAGACCAGAAAAGGCCTCGAATGTTTTTTAGAACAAGGCAAAGAGTAAAGAAACAAAGAAATAAATTTTGTATGGAAAACCGATAGAGTAAGCTTTTCCCTCCAAACTCTTCATTATTAAAAAAAAACACAAACAGCCCTGGCTGGGTGGCTCAGTTGGTTAGAGCATCATCCCAACATGCCAAGGTTGTGGGTTTGATCCCCAGTCAGGGCACATACAAGAGGCAACAAATGAATGCATAAATGAGTGGAATGGCAAATCAGTGTTTCCCTCTATCCCTCTCTCTCAATCAATAAAAAAAAATAAAGTAAAAAACTTAAAAGAATTATATCATGGTTACTCATGGTCTCACACTTATATTTTAAAGTTGTTGCGATTTGTCACATTTGCTTTTTATTTATATATGTTAGTAGATGGAATATTCTGAACCACTTAAAAGTAGGTCAAAGCATGACACTTCATTCCTGTTTACTTCAGACAGCATCTCTAAAAAATCTTTCTTCTACATAACCAAAATACCCTTATCACATTAGAAAATTAGCAGTAATTTAATAAAAGAATCTAATATTCTCAATTCTCTCAATATTCTTATTTTCTCAGTTGAGCTCCAAATGGTTTTTTGTGGCTGTATTTTTTTAAACCAGCATCCAAACAAGATCTATGCAATGCATTTGGTTGTTATATCTCTTTAGACTCTCTTAATACAGAACAGCTCCCCCCCACACACACACTTTTTTTTCCTTGACACTGACTTTTTTGAGGAGGCCAGTCATTTTATTTGAGTGGAGTGCTGGAGTCCATGGACAAATGAAATTCTATTACTCATCAGCAGTGAAAAGAGCTGTGTGTGTGGCCACTGAGGTTCTACATGTCCCTGCCCCAGCCTTCCTCTGTCAACAGAGCAGGAGAGCATGTCTGCTTACCTTGCAAATGCATTAGAAGGCTCCAGCCTCAGAGAGGGCTATGTGCCGGCCCCCAGAGAGAGGGCATGGGTGAGCTAGGGGGACCACCACCTGTTGTGAGAGCCCTTTTGTTCTGCTTTGCTTCTTTCAAGATCACCGTCAGGATATGTTGGAGCTGGAGGCTGAGCATGACCAGGGCCTGCAGAGTAAACAAGATGAGCAACAAACACATCATGTTCAATGTGAGGATCCTGAGGTGGCCACATCTTTGCAGTTTTCAGAGGAGAACGTCCCTGAACTGTAAGCCCTGATGTATGCAAACGGGAACATATAATCATGTTTTGTGGAGGGGAAAATGAACAGCAGAGAACTTAGGGAAAGCCTGGAAGATTTAAAATCCATACATGAATTAAACCTGGAAGCACTCATGTGCACAAGTAACCACCTACACATTCCAGCAGGAATGCAGAGTAAGGATATTTCTAAGGACATAGGCAAAGCCGTATCACTCAGATAATTTTCTAGATGTGAAAAGTATTATAATTATCATTAAAAATATATTGTTAGGCCCTTATAGGTCCTTTCCCTACTGTATATCTCTCCATCCCCCTAAGATGTCACCACTATCCTGAAATCAATACTTAACATTCACTCTATGCAGGGAAATTAAAAATATATCTATTGTTTTTACTAAATATTAAATAGGCTTTATTTTCTCCATTCTTGAAAAGATCTGTTAAAATGGATATCAAATACATTCCCAAACTTCTTTCTTGAGGCCTAACTGCCTATTGGGCCTATTTTGATGACAGAAAAGCAAACCAACTTGCCATTCAAAGGAAGAGGGTTTGGACCATGTGAGAGGTTTCCCATTTTTTACCTTAAAACTGATCGTAATAATATTTCTGCAGGAGTCAGGAGAACATGTTTTTCCAGCTAAACCACTGGAATACACAGATGGGTCTACAAGCAAAAGAACTCGGAGCTGATCACGTGGGCTGGATGAAGAAAATTAGCCATATTATACAAAAAGTAAACCTAACAGAAAACACAATGAAGAGGTAACTGTAGAGTGCTGGGGTTGGTGAGAAAATAATTAAAATTTTCATAGCTTCAGAAATTTTAGAAACTCTGGGTTTAAGGTGGTAGAGTCTTTAGGATAAGAAGTGTAAAGCCTTATGATTAGAAGTTAATGTCACACCTGTCAGAGTGGCCATCACTAATAAATCAACAAACAGCAAGTGCTGGCGAGGGTGTGGAGAAGGGGAGCCCTGGTGCACTGCTGGTGGGAATGCAGACTGGGGCAGCCACTGTGGAAAGCAGTGTGGAGGTTCCTCAAAAGATTAAAAATGGAGCTGCCTTATTTAAAATTAAATATGGAACAGCGATTCCTCTTCTGGGAATATACCCAAAGAAACCTGAAACACTAACTTGAAAGGATATATGCACTCCTGTGTTCATTTAGCATTATTTACAATAGCCAAGATTTGGAAGCAGCCCAAGTACCCGTCAGTAGGTGAGTGGATAAAAAAGCTGTGGGGCATTCACACCATGGAATACTGCTTGGCCATTAAAAAAAAAGGAATCTAACCTTTTGTGACAGCATGGATGGACCTGGAGAGTATTATGCTTAGTGAAATAAGCCAGTAAGAGAAAGATAAGTACCATATGATTTTACTTATATGTGGAATCTAATGAACAAAATAAACTGACAAACAAAATAGAAACAGACTCACAAATACACAGGACAGACAGCTGTCAGAGGGGAGGTGGGTTGGGGGACTGGGTGAAGGTGAAGGGATTAAGCAAAGAAAAAAAATTCCCTGGCCGGGTAGCTCAGTTGGTAAGAGCATCAACCCTTACTCAAAAGGTTGTGGGTTCCAGTCCAGTCAGGCACATGCCCAGGTTGCGGGCTCCATCCCCAGCAGGGGGCATGCAGGAGGCAGCTGATTGATGTTCCTCATCGATGTTTCCATCTCTGTATCCCTCTCCCTTCCTCATTCTCTAAAATCAATAAAAACATATTTAAAATAAATAAATTTAAAAAACGATTCAACCTGTTTGACATGAAAAAAATTAAATTATATTTATTTAATGCATATCTGAATTTAAATGCAATATTTAAAGATGAAACAGAAAAAATAAAATTGTTATCTACCCAATCACTGGTATGAAGAGAATGGAGTTTGGAGTCAGAGGGAGCCAGGTTTGACATTGATAATGACATTTCTTGGATAAGTTAATCAACCTTTTCTAACTCTTGACTTTTATCTTCTATAAAAAAGAGACTAATGACAGTCACCTCATTGATTTCTTGTGTCTGGTACACAATAAACAATAAACGCAAGCTATTCTTAGAAATAAATTCCTCTGGTCTTAACCATCCTACCACATTCCAAACTCTTTCCCACTGCAGGGCTACTCTTTTGTAGACGTTTTCTCACCTTTCAGTTAAATACCTTCACATGGAGCTAAAAACATCACCATGCCTGTCAGTTAAACATCTCCTCCCACCAGCCTTTTCCTGACCATCCTATCCAAAATAGTTCTGTTTTCTTCCAATGCACTAATATTTGCTTTTTAAAAGAGTCTGTGGTTTTCATTCAAATCCTATACATTAAATTTTCTTCCCATTTTGAAAATTAAAGCATCATTTACATACAGTAAAATTATGTTGCTCTGCAAGTTTTGAAAAATGTATTAAAAAAATTGTATTGTTCTGCAAGTTTTGAAAAATGCATACAGTTGTATAGCTGCCACAGTGAAGACATGGAACACTTTCGCCACCCACCACATCCCTTTTGTAGTTAACCGCTCTCCCCTGGCTAAGCTGCTGGCGACCACTGATCTGCTCTCTGTCCCTACAGTTTCCCTTTTCCCGTCTGTCACATAAATAGAACGATGCAGTATGCAGCCTTCTGAGTCTATCTTCTTTCACTTAGTCTAATGCATCTGAGATTCACCCATGTTGCTGCATGCATCAATAGTTTGTTTCCTTTGTTGTTACCTAAATATACCATGGTTTATCCATTCGCTAATGGAGGCACATTTTAGGTTTCTCTGGCAATAAAGACACTATAAAAAATTCACATACAGATTTTCGGCTATTCAATTTATTTTAATTTTATTTTTGCTTTTAAATTACATAGATTTTAGAATCAGTTTGTCAACTCTGCTGTGATTTTTACTAGAACTACCATTAATCTATAGATAAGTTTGGGAAGAATTAACATTTTAGTAATATTGACTCCACCAATTAATGACTAGAGTATATCTATTTACTTAGATCTTTGATTCCTTCTATCAGTGTTGTATAGTGTTCAGTGTACAAATATTTTACATTTCTTTAGATTTATGCCTATGTTTTCATGCTCTTGGTACTATTATAAATGGTACTTAAAATTTTTCAATTTCTAATAGTTAATTGCTATTATATAGAAATACAGTTGATTTTTGTATATTAACCTTGTGTCTTGTGACCTTACTTAACTCGTTTATTAGCTCCAGTAGTTTTTGTAGGTTATTTGGGATTTTCCACATAGATAACCATATCAAGTGCAAATAGACAGCTTTATACCTTCCTTTCCAATCTGTGTGCCTTTTACTTCTTGTTGTTGCCTAATTGTATTGGCCAGAACCTCTAGTACAGTGCTGAATAGGTGAAGCAACAGCAGCCAGCGGACACACTTACCTTGTCCTTACTCCTACAGGAAAAGCATCAGCTGCTTTTTAAAAGATGCCCTTTCTTAAATTGAGAGAGTCGCTTATATTCCTGGTTTACTGAGTTGTTTTTAACATCAGAATAATCTGAATTTTTTCAATAGCTTTTGATGCATCTATGAATGATCATTTAAAAAATTTGTTTATAACCTCTTGACATGGTGAATTATAATGACTAATTTTTGAATGCCAAACCAGCCTTGAATTCCCAGAATAAGCCCCACTTGCTCATAATATGATATCCTTTTTATATATTGTTGGATTTAGTTTACTAAAGTGGAATTTTTAGATGTATGTTAATGAGAGATATTGGCCTGTGTTTTTCTTTCTTGTAATGTATAGTGTTAGTATAAGAAAAATATTTGCCTCATAGAAAAAATTGGGATGTTTTCTCACCTGTTTTATTTTCTGGATGAGTTTGTGTAGAACTGGCGTAATTTATTTCTTAAATGTTCGGTTGAATTCACCAGGAAGCCATATTGCCTGGCGACTTCACTGTGGTAAGATTTTTAATTCCTTTGTGCTATCTCTTTACAGCCCCACCCATTCATTCCCTCTCACCCCTCCCTAACCCCTGGCAACAACAAATCTGTTTTCTATAATTATGTTATTTCATGAATATTACATAAATCAAATCATGCAATATGTATCTCTTTGAGGCTGGCTTTTTCACTTGGTGTAATTTCTTTGAGGTTCACCCAAGTTGTTGCCTGTATCAACAGTCCCTTCCTTTCCATTTGAGTAGCCGTCCGCGGTATGGCTGCATATAGTTTGGTTAACCATTCACCCACCAAAGACAATTGCAAAATTTCTAGTCTTGGGCTATTATGAAAAAAACTACTTTGAACATTCCTGAACAACTTCCTGTGTGAAAGTAAGTCTTAATTTCTCAGTTGTCTCCAAGGGTGAAATCACTGGGTCACATGGTAAGTCTGTTTTTAGTTTCGTTTTAACAGGAACTGCCAAACTATTTTCCAGAGTGACTGTAGCATTTTACATTCCCACCACCAGTGTATGAATGACCCAATTTCTCCACATTCTCATCTCGCTGCCATTTGGTGTTATCACTGTTTTTCACCTTAGCTATCTGATCAGTTACACGTGGAATGATATCTCGTTGTAGTTTTAACTTGCCAATCCCTCATGGCTAGTGGTGGTGAACATCCTTTCGTGTGTTTATTTGCCATCTATACATTTTTTGGTGAAATCTTTGTGCACGTCTTTTGTTCATTTTCTAATTGGAGGGTTTGTTTTTTAATGTTGAGTCTTGAGAGGTTTTCATATATCCTAGATATAAGATGTTTGCCAGATATGTGACATGCAAATCCATTTAAAAGTCAATGGCCAAGCAAACATTTTAAATTGTAATGAGGTTTATCAATGTTCCCTCTATGGGTAGTGTTATTGGTGTCAAGTCTAAGATCGTTTTGCCTAATCCTAGGTCCCAAAGATTTTCTGTGTTTCTTTTCTAGGAATTTAACTAAGCTTCCATTTTAATCATCTGCCCCTGTGTCATTAGGTCTTACATTTCTTTACTATTATCGAAATTATTTAGAGTGTTTTCACTTTTTTGAATTGCATTTATGTCTTCCAGTTCCAACACAATCACTACCCAAGAGACTTCTTATTTAGGAATAGGATTTCATTTTTTAAAGATTAAAATTGATTCTTCTAAAAAGATTTAAAAAAATTGTCTGTTAGGTGATTTTTCCTAGTCCACAGATTTAGCCCCTCTCTTGGTCTGTTTGCAGCTTACTAAATGAGGTGATGTCCTTGGAGGGCCAAATTGAAAAGCTGGAGTCACACCAGGACCTTGACCCTGACCAGGGGGTAAACATCGAGGTAGGCTGGACGATTGGAAACAACAATTGGGAAGTTGTGGGGATGCTGCCCCCCACCCCTTATATTTTTTAATAGGTCATAACAAAAATTAAAACCCATCTTCTGTCACAAGGAGGAGGGCTATTGGCAGTCAGTTCTGAGCACCTTTCACCTGGATACCACCACTTCTATTCTCTGATAACATAAAAAGGCTAGATTTATTTTATTCTACCTAGAAAATCAGTCAGACAAATTTGATAGGTTGACATCTCGATGCGTCTTAAGATAATGATGAATACCCTAAGGGGAAACTCGTCTTCCTCTTTGTATCCCAGCACCTAACAGGACAGAGAAGATAGTCACGGAACAAATATTTCTGAAGAATCGCCTCCTCAGAGTGAGAGAGAGGGATTTGCGTGTCTTTGTTTTCTTCATTGGGAGTTCTTGCGTTGGTTTTCACTCCTAAGTTTTCCTCTTGTTTTGTCTCCTTGTGTTTCTTACAGAAAGGTCTTATTTTCTCTTTCATAAAGAGTCACAGACTGGTGTTAGAAAGGTAGTGATCAACTCTGGAAAATAATTAGACTTTAGAACCCTGGATGATACTTTTTCTGCTCTCCTGAACTTCAGGCCTTTGAAGAAAAGTCTCTAAAAAAGGAAAAAGTCTGTGTCTAGCTTCCCCCCATTTTTTATTGAAATTGCCAGCCTCTGCTTTAGCCAAAGAGTTTAAATTAAGTGGATTTTGGAAAAAGTAAAGGAGCAATAGCTCTTTTGTTGTAGGAAGGTAATGTAATTTAGGCCTCTCACATATTAAAAGTCATCTACAGATTAGCACAGATTTATTACCAAGGAAAAAATTACTTTTAGCTGTGACTTGGTCCAGTTTTTCAAAGTAGCAACCCCATGATGTGCTAGTTGAAAAGTCAGGAGTTTTTTTCACTGTCCTTGGGCTTTGGAGATTGCAAAATATGAAAACAGGGAAAAAGACTAAGGTCAAGAAATACTCTGCCTGAGAAAACTTCCTGCAGAGGTCAGCTGTATTACAGGAATGTGGATTTCAGCAGGAGTCGGGGCTAGGGAGGGGTGAACATCAAAAGAGTGGGGAGGAAGATAGAAAAGCACAAAAATAAATGAGAGAGAGATAAAACACACATGCCCACACATGCACACACACAAATAAGGGCTTGGGATAATATGAAAGGGAAAGACATCACAAATATTTAGGGAGATTCTCTCTGGAGTTACACAGCTGTGTATACACTGAAAAAAATAGACACACACTTAAAAATTAAAAACAGCCCAAATATCCACCAACTGATGTGTGGACAAATTGTGGCACATGTTGTATAGTGGAATACTACTCAGTAATAAAAAGGAATGGCCTTCTTACTCATCCAACAACATGAATGGATCTCAAGTACATTATGCTAAGTGAAAGAAGCCAGACTCAGAAGATCCCATACTTCGTGATTCCAGTTACGTAACATTCTGAAAAAGGCAAAAATAGGATCAGAAAATAGGTTAGTGGTTGCTACAGTCAGTTGGGTAAAGGGAGGAAGAGACTGACAAAAGGGCACAGGAAATTTTGGGTGCAATGGAAATATTCCATACATTGTTGTGGTGCTGATTATTTGACACTGTGCATTTGTTAAAATTCATAGAATTGCGCACTTTTAAAAGGTGAGTTTTACTGTATATAAATTATAACCTCAATAAACATAACTTTTAAAAAATTGACACAAATTCTATCCTCAGTAGGTCTAATGGCTGATGGGAAAGCTTGCATAAAAACAAATGCAGTAATTTAATGAGTAAGAAATTTTAAATATAATTGTTACAGGTGCAAAGTCAGTAGGAATGGCTGTAGGTTTCCTCTAGTGAAGGGAAAAGTGAACATTGTTAGAAACAGATATGGGAACAGCAAGCAAACTTTGGGAAAGTTAAAGGAGAAATAAGTTAATGAACTTTTAAAATATCACATGAATTGGCTCATTTATTTCTCATATAGAAATGAAATGACTCAGCAAGCCATAAAAGAGGAGGGACATTTGGTAAAAAGCATTTAAACACACACACACACACACACACACACACACATACACACACCAGAAACAAATGTAAAAGAGCTTTAAGCTAAGAAAAGTCCTTTGAGGTGGCTTTTGGGTGTTGCCTGCTCTTGAGGCCCCAAGTCCATGAAGCTTTCTGAAATCTCCATATGAACATCTAGACTTTCATTTTGAAACTGACTCCCATCTCAGTTATCTTTGATAAATGCTGTATAAAGATATTTTCTATGTAAACAAACCAGGGCACTAAGTAAAATATGATTATTATATCACAGCTCTTTTCTAAATAAGTAAATCCCACAATTCAGGGGTTGGTAATGAATGAACTTGGTAAACATAGGTATAGACTATACATTCTCTATAGCTATTTGAAGGCAAATACTCTTATTCCTGGTATCCAACCAGTGCAATGCCTAGCTCAATGGCTTCTTACAAAGGATGTGGCTAATAATATCTTGTTGATTTAATTTAATATTGATTTTGGAGATCGGCACCCAGAACAGTAAGGGAAAAGTAGCCTCTATTAAATCTCAAACTTCTTGATCATGAACTAGCTTTCTTTTTTACAACTTTTGTTTTATGCCCTTTGTTTTAAAGGAGAAGATTATGGAAATTAAAGAACAATTAGGAGAAATGGATAACAAATTTATCCAGGTAATGATAAAAATGGCTTTATAATTAAGGAAGAAAAACAGTTCTTGAAAGAAATCTCAGATTTAGAGAATTTTAGTGAATGAATCTAAAGTTCAATGAAAGATAGAATTGTGAACCTAGAAGGGAACTTACTGTCATTTAACCTATGCCCTCATTTTCAGAAACTCAGAAATATAAAGTAACTTGCCCATATTTCCAGATGAAAAGAACCAGTCTGCTCTTGCTCTCCCATGAAAAACATAAATATATGTATATATTTTAATATATACATTATATATCTAAATATACAAAAATATTTAATATATATTTTTAAACATATAAGTACATATATATATTTTTCTTTTAACAAAAGTAATACATGCTTTTTTTTTTTAAATTCTCACCTGAGCATATTTTTTCCATTGATTTTTTTAGAGAAAGTGGAAGGGAGGGAGGAGTGGGGAGAGATTAATCAAAGGACTTATATGTTTATAAGCATAATCCATGGACATAGACATTGGTATGGGGAAGGCCTGGAGGTGGGGTGGATGTAGGGTAGAGGGGATCAATGGGGGAAAAAAGGGGACATCTCTAATACTTTCAACAATAAAGGTAAAACAAATAAACAAACCAAAAACCACTTTACAATTAAGTGGTATCAAAATGAGTGAGGTTTTATTGTATAAACCAGAAAAACATAATTTTAATTTTACCCCAAATTGTGGGTGCTTTTTCAGGTTGATGCTTGTAATGAAGCTCATGAATTAAAGGAGAAACTCATTGCAGAAATAGAGGTAAGATTTCACTGTTACACAAGTTCAAATAATGGTAAAATAAACTGATTTAAATATAAATACAGAGGCAATTCTTTCTCTAGAAGTTGAGAGTATACCACATACTGATCTCTTTTTAACCTTATTGCCATCTTCTTCCCCTCCTGGCCTTCTGCTTTGGGCCAACAGAACATCTCACAGGTCTGGCAGATTCCCAATCCCTCACACCCCTGGGCAGCTTCCACATCTCCTCTATCTGGAGCTTACCCTCCATGTATACAGATTACCCACTCTTCAAGGCTCAGCTCAAATGCCATCTCTTTCAGACCTTCCCTAATCCCCCTTAGGTAGAAAAATGACTCTGAACTCCTCCCACAAGATCTTATACATTGAGATAAATGTGAATGAATGGGTGAGTGAAACAATGAATGAATGAATCAACCGGTCACCTGCTCAGAGGTGCCTAATCATCCCACTCTCTAGAGTAGATGTCCACCACCAAATCTCAGCTACTCTGTCTCATCACCTTATTTATTTTCTCTTTAGCATGTATCTTAATCTATAATATCTAATGTGTATATGTGTTTAGCATTTAATTCCTTGTCTAGTTTGTTAAGCAAAAAACAAAACAAAACAAAATGCACATGCAATAGAACACACATTTCTCATTTATTTTGTTAGCCGCTGTATCCTAGAACAGTGCCTGGTAGGAGTCGCTCAAAAAAATGTGTTCTACATGGATGAACAAATTGAATAGATAAATTCAGCACAAGGATAATTATTTTCCTACATGGACAGTCCAGCAAAGATTAGCATGTGGGTTTTGCTTAATTTTATACCATGGTGCTAACTTACTCCGTGATAGCGTCTCTTTCTAATAGGCGAGAATGCCTGCCAATGGCCTCCCTGAGGGACTCACACGTGATTTGCCATGTGGACCCCTGAGGTGTTCTAGAGGAAGAGCACTCAGCATCATCTGCAATAAGACTGGCAGACATCTAGAGTCATTTTTTAAAAATGATAGTTGATTGTTCTTCTTCCCAGAACTTTTGCAAGGACATGACTGTGCTGAATGCAAGGCTGGGGATGCGCCAAAAGCAAGAAGAGAGCACAGACTCCCAGAATTCTGAAGAAACGGGTTTGGAAGAAATGGAGCCCCTGCATCTTCAGGCTCCAGCCCCCACTTCAGTGCAGAGCTCTCCTCCTCCCATTAAAATATGGTAAGTCAGAGAAAGGAGCTTTCGGGGGCTGGACAGAGGCCCTAACATGTATGAACTACAGTAAGATTAAATTTCTTCAAGTGTTAATTAAAAATTTGTTTCACCTCCTTTTATAAATTATTTGTGTTCTTTAAAATCATAGTATTATTTTATTTATTAATTAAGCTTATTGGGGTGACAATGGTTAATATGAACACACAGGTTTCAGGTGTGAGTTTCTATGTTACAAGATCTGTATACTGCTCTGCGTGCCCACCACCCAAAGTCATATCTTCTCCTGTCACCATATATTAGGAGCCCCTTGACCCTCAACCTCTTCCCTCTGCAACCACCACACTGCTGTTTGTGTCCATTAGTTTCAGTTTTATATCCCACACATGAATGAAATCATATGGCTCTTAGCTTTTTCTGGCTGACTTATTTCACTTAGCATGATATTCTCAAGGTCCGTCTGTGTTGTGGCAAATGGCAGTGTTTCATCCTTTCTTATGGTTGAGGAGTATTCCATTGTGTACATGTGCCACGTCTTCTTGATCCACTATTGGAGGACACTTTGGTTGTCTCCATGTCTTGGCTACCGTGAATAATGCTGCAGTGAACATAGGGGTGCATATATCTTTGCAAATACATGTTTTTGAGTTTTTCGGGTATATACCCAGGAGAGGGATTGCTGGATTGTATGGTAGCTCTATTCTTAATTTTTTGAGGAATTGCCAGACTGCTTTCCATAGTGGTTGTACCAGTCTACATTCCCACCAGCAGTGAATGAGGGTTCTCTTTTCTCCACACCCTCTCCAACACTTGTTATTGCTTGTCTTATCGATGAAGCCACTCTAGCAGGTGTGAGGTGGTACCTCATTGTAGTATTGATGTGCATTTCCCTAATTGCTAGTGAGGCTGAACATCCTTTCATATATCTGTTGGCTGTTCGTGTGTCTTCTTGGGAAGCTGTTTGTGTGTCTGTTCAGGTTCTCTGCCCACTTTTTGATTGGGTTGTTTGTTTGTTGTTGAGTTTTATGAGTTCTTTCTATATTTTGGAAATTAAACCTTTTCAGAGCTACTGTTTGCAAATATCATCTCCCACCTGGTTGGCTGCCTCTTGGTTTTGTTGTCAGTTCCTCTTGTTGTGCGGAAGTTTTTAGATACAGGCCCATTCATTTATTTTTGCCTTTACTTCCCTTGCCTTTGGGATCAAGTTCATAAAATGTTCTCTACGACCGAGGTCCATCAGTTTGATATCTGTTTTCTTCTATGTAACTTATTATTTAGGGCCTTACGTTTAGGTCTTTGATCCATTTTGAGTTAGTTTTTGTATGAGGGAACAAGCTGTAATCCAGTTTCATTCTTTTGCATGTAGCTTTCCAGTTTCCCCAGCACCATTTATTGAAGAGACTATCTTTACTCCATTGTGTGTTTCTGGCTCCTTTGTCGGAAATTATCTGCCCATATACATGTGATTTTATATCTGTTCCATATATATGTGTTTTACATGTGGCTCTCTATTCTGTTCCACTGATCTGTGTGTCTGTTTCTGTGCCAATACCATGCTGTTTTGATAGTATTCTTATTTTAGATATAGATCCATTGCATTAGATACAATACAGATATAGGTATATATGTCTTTCTTATTGCTTTAGATAACTATTTGTACGTAAATCTTTAAGGATGGTTTCTGCAAAGGCGATGCAGTCACCTCCACCAAAGAAGCATACTTGCTAAGCAGATTCAGAAACCTCTGTATGCTGAACAGGATGTCTCTCCCTTGTACAGTATTGAAGACATACATACTGGAAAATTCTCACACTTTGAATTCCTTTCTAGAGATGCCACACCATCACATATACTCCGAGTACATATACTTCTGATTCTTTATCCCCAGCCACCAACACAGGTAGAATCTTCAGCTCCCTCTTCTGTTTGTGCACTATACCTTGCATGTAATTCTGAGGTAGAGCCCACAGCATATTATTGCAATTAGTTTAAATCTGTCTCCTAATACTCCATGGGCTATTTGAAGGCAGAAATCTTGACCATTTGGGGACTTGAAATGTAAAAGATATTTATCATGCTCAACCAAAATTAGTAAGTGAGGAGTGATGTCAATGAAAATGGTGGAGTAAAGACCCCAAGAAATCAACTAGAGGGCTGAAAAAAATGAATCAATTTATTTAGAACCCTGTATATTAAGGATCCCAGTATCCAGAATATATAAAGCACTTTTACAATCCAACAACAAAAAGACAAACAACACAATTTTTTAAATGAACAAAGAAGTTGAATAGACATTTCTTCAAAGAAGATACCCAGATGGCCAACAAGCACATAAAAAAATGTTCAACATCATTGGTCATTAGGGAAATGCAAATAAAAATCAGAAGATACCACTTTACACCACTAAAATAACTATAGTTAAAAAGACAGACAATAACAAGCATGTGGAGAATTTAGAGCCCTCAGATATTACTAGTGGGACTGTAAAATGGTACAGCCACTTTGGAAACAACTTGGCAGTTCCTGAAAATGTTAATATAGAGCTACCCTATGACCCAGTCCTAGGTATGCACCCAAAAGAATTGAAGATACATGTTCATGAAACACCTGTACACAAATGTTCACAGCAGCATTATTCATAATATTTAACAAGCAGAAACAATACAAATATTCACCAATTGATGAATAGGTAAACAAAATGTGGTATATCTATACAATGGAGTATTTTCAGCCACAAAGGAGAATAAACTACTGATATATGCAGACATAGATGACCCTTGAAAACATTATGCTAAGTGAAAGAAGTCAGACAAAAAAGACCACATACTATATGATTCTATTCATATGAAATGTCCAAAATAGGAAAACCCATAGAGATAGAAAATAGATTAGTGGTTGACAGGCCTGGGGGTAATGGGAAATAGGAAGTGACTGTTCACGGGTACAGATTTTCTTTTGGGGTGATAAAAACTTCCTGAAATTAGATAGTGGTGATGATTGCACAAGCTTATGAATAAACTAAAAGGCACTGAATTGTATTCTTGAATAGATGTGTGAAGTAGAAGCAATTATTTGTAGAACTACCAAGAGATAGCCAGTGGCAATAATGCCAAGAAACTTGACTCAGGTTTATAGAATCCACTGAGTCGGGTCACAAAATAGATCCATAGTTAGCTTGAACTGTATTCTAGATTTTTCTCTTCTGAAATGATTTATAGATGGTGATTATCTCCAGGTAACTGGATTATCCATGACATTTCTTTTCTTCTTGGTGTTTTTCTGGATTTTCCAAATCTTTTACCCTAATCATGTATTGCATTTCTAACTAGAAAACAGTAATGGAAGGACATAAAAGCAAATAAATAAAATATATCATAGGTACAGCTCAGAAGGAGGAGTCCTCAAAGATTTGGAAAAGCCTATATTACTTTATAAGGGTAAGTCTGATGCCAGGACAAAACTGGTGATAGAGAGGCCTGAATTCCATTGGTCACATTGTATTTTGTGTCCTGAGGAAAATCTAACTACCCTGTGCCTTTGTTTTCTCCCAAATAGGCATCACATACCTCATAAGTGAGGCAAAGATGGCAATAATCTGTGAGAAGAACATTTAAGAGGAAAGAGCCCCAAAATATTGAGGGTTTCATTGTTTCAGGGCTATAGAACCTTAGAATTCCAATGCCAGTCCTAAGATGAACTTAAGTGCTCAACTACTCCAAGCTCCTTTTGCAGATGTCAACTGAGGCCAAGAGAAGTTCATTTACTTACGTGAAGTTATAGAGCTACCCTGGGTGGAGGTCCCAGGAGTCACGTCAGTGTTTTCTTCACAATGTTTTTAACACATGTTTTCTTTCCTTGTAGGAAACGTGCACTGAGGATTTTCATCATATTTTATGTCCTCACCTTCACTGTACTTTCATGTTACATATTATTTTTTGATGCTACATTTATCTTTGAAAGGGTGCTCCCCACAATGCTTGGGCGGCGCAGAATGTGGGAACTACGGGAGATTATTGCACCTTTCTTAAATTTGGAAGTGGAAGACTTGTTACCTTCCTAAAGATACTGGTACCCTACTGACTTTCTCCCCAATAAAATTCTGGCTGTTCTTGTATTATGGTAGTTAACTTAGCTTTTAAAAAAAAAATACTATAGGGTGTTTGGCAAAGGACATTGTAGTCATGTGGAAATTGGTTGATCACAGACAGAAAAAATTGAAACTAGTTTGTCTCTACCCTTAAACACACAATGACTTCTAGAATCATTCCACACATCGATTAAGACATTTACTTCAAACCACTAACCTCTCTCCTCCCCCAACCCTGAGGGCACTGAGACCATCAAGTATTAGTTTCCTTGGTAATTTCACCCATTTGACCTCTGATGTCTCAGAAAAGAAAGCACAGAATTCCTCTCCATTGTTTCCAATTTTACTTAAATTGGATTGGGGCCATATTTTGGGTATAGTGAACATTATTTAGTCTTAGTCCCTCCCTAACATTCATTTATGGCTTTGGTAACAGCATCTTAATTTTGCTTTGAAAGAAGTATCTTTTTCCAGTGAGCATAATTATAAGTGGTTCCCCATTGCCCTATTAGTAAGAGTTGGAACTATGTTGAATCAGACAATCTCCAAGAATGAGAATCTTGAGAATTATATGAAGAAGGGAAATGATTGAAACTTCCATTTTGTGAACTAGCTCATATCTTTTTCTGCTTAAGTTAGCCACAGTTGGTTTGGTGGCTTATAATCAAATGAAGCCTAATTGGTGTGGTAGTTTTCAATCTCAGACTGGAGCATTTTTATCCAGAACTTTGTAGGTAATGGGGAAATAGTAAACTTTATTTTCAATGTGAAAAACAGTTATAATTGAACTGTGTAAGATTAATAGAACCATAAAGAATAAATTGTGGTAAGAGGGCAGATGGAGTGTGACATGTCAGTTAAAAGGCCATTCAGTGGTTCAGATGAGCTAGAGGGGTAGAAATGGGAATGAAAAGATGATGGGTGAAGTAAACATTCTAAGGGTACATTTTATATTTGGTTGTGTCATGGATGTGTGGTTGGAAGAGTGGTGACAGGGAGGTTGTGGAACAAGGTTCCAATTCTCACACTTGAATGGATCTTGAAGTATGGATAGTATTTCACGGCAGAGAGGAGGAAAAGGCATTTCAGAGAAAAGACACATGGATAAAACAGAAGCCATGAATATAAGGCAGTCAAGAAAGTTGGTAGAGCAAATTGCACAATATATTTGTACATTACTTAAAAGTCAACATTATGCCCCCTTCATTTTTGTGGTCTCTCTGGTACAGTCATTCCCAAATACTGGTCCTTTGATTGCATGTATCAGAATCACTTGGGGAGCTTTATACATTAGAAATTTCCAATTCCAACCCCAGATATTTTGATTCAACAGAGCTAGTGTGGGAATCAGGAATCTTATTTTTAAAAATCTCCCCAGCTAAATCTAATACTAATGCAAATTTTGGAACCATGTCTTGGTACACTTTAGGACAAAGCAATGCACATAGTAGGTACTCAAGAAATACCTGTTGAAGTAAATTAAATTATATGTTCTTATCTTTGTGAGCTCCCTAACATTATTGTTCAATAATTTGCATCATAGCAGTTTTTCCAGTGCCACCTTATCACTCCCTTGAAGTAATCTTCAAGTCCCTTACTATCTTTTTGTCTTAACATTGGAGAAATCACCAGGTCTTCCCAATTCTCCCATAGCAATTTTCCCCAGGCCAGCTGCCATTCTTTGTATTAATAATGTTTCCATTCTGATAGGCCTTATCATACAAATGTATTACTGCTGGGAAAAGCCAGCCTATTGTTCCAACTTTCATAGACTACTACTATATACACAACTTTAGAAAAGACTCAATTCCAAATGCCACTTGTAGCCTGGGATCTTTTATAGCCAGGAAACGATATCAGTTGCTAGAAATGTGAAATTTGCTTGTAAGTGGTTCTCAAGCTGGGATGTTTAACAGAATTCCACCAAGAGACATTTAATAATAATTATACATTTGTTTGAGCATCTCTTCCAGAAGTTCTGAATTTTTAGATCAAGGATGAATCTCTAATATCTTCTATTAATAGTTCCCCTTGACAATTCTTAGCATTCAGAGTTTAAGAGCTGCTATGCAATGTAATGGGCAAAAGCTACCTGAGGCTACAATTTGGCTGAGATCCCATACAAGGCTAACCAAGAAGTGACTAATTTTAGAGAGGAGGAGGAGGCCTGGGGGATGGGTGAGGGAATTTCCAGGCCACACAAAAAGGGAAAAAGCCAGAAGCTCTGGGAACAATGAGTAATATATTCAAAAGGTCTTGTGGTGTTGAAAGGATATGCTGAAAGACAGATTTTAAAAAGTCACAGCTAGACTTGTTTACAGATAAAGGGACTACTCAGACCAATTTGTAGACAGAACTTGGTGTGTGCTTTTTAATAATCTTCAGGTATTGTTCGATACAGTATCAGCTGATTTATTTGTAAAACTAGAAAAGAAGTGTTGAGTTTAAGTAACTCAAATAAAGCTAAAAGTATTGTTATAATCATATAACACTATGAAGTAAGGTAGGGAACCCAATTCTTTGAAAGAATAAATATTTTACTAACTTTCAAGATATATTTTATTAGGATTTTGACTAAGACAAAATAATTTTCCCTAGGGAATGAATATCCTTAAAGTGGGAATGATACTATTTCACATCAATTTATTTTCAGTTTGTCTGCTTCTCAGGCTGGAAAGCTGGATGTCACAATGTCCTGCTCTACTCAGAGAGGGAAACATTTAGTAAAGTACTGTAATATTATTAAAGTACTGTAATATTAAGCTGATATAAATGTATACACGTGGTAATTCAGCTAACTACTTTGGTTGGTTGGGTCTTATTTCAGATCTTTTAAATGCCATATTCAATTGCATCAGCGGCTATGTTCAAAATCACTCACTAAATGTCAGAATCACTTTACAAATATGGTCTTGGTTTTGGACTAGGAGGAAAGAAAACGAGTGGTCACAAAATCTCTATTTGTCATTTTTTTTGAGTGAGGAGAGCTATGACATAGTGAAAAGAGCTTTAAACTTGGATTTGAAGTTGAATTAATCTGCTGCCAAATGTGTGTTTGGTGGGGCCACCTAATCCCACCCGCCCAAGTGGATCCAAGATCTCCCTCCCCAGCTGCCCAGAGTGTTGGCTGCTGAGAGTTCACAGCTAGGATCCTCCTTTGGACCTGCTTTTGGTTAAAGAGACCTGCTTCACCTAAGGTTCCTCTTCTTTCCCAATGGTAACCTGCATTCAAAGACTGATCCAGGCCAGGGTACATTTCTGAAGGGCCATCCCAGACCCAGAGCTCCTCATGGCATTGGTTAAAGTCACTAGTATAACTGTGTCCCAATCCAACTTCTCCCTCTGCCCAGTCCTGTTCCCATCATCCCCTTCACAGGTGACTGTGAGGGTTTTCCCAATAAACCCACACTCAAGTTTTCATTTCAAAGTCCATTTCCTGGGAAACTTGACCTAAGACGCCTGAGGAAATAAATGAAGACTAACCAAAGGAGAGCAAGCAAAGGCTATTTATTCTGAGTTCGCTGGAGCAAGAAAATCCGTCACATCACTTGTGATTTAACAGACTCAAGGAAAGAAGAGAAGTGGGAAGCTTTATAGCAGAAAAAGACGAAGGCTGCAGGTATGCCCTGATTGGAGGCTGTTGGCAGAGGGAAGTTATAGGCGGGCTAACTAAAAGCAAGGCATTCTATATAATGTTGGGGGTGGGGGGAGTATATTTAACTTTTTCTGGTTGGTCCTAACTTGGAAGGGGGACAAAAATTAAGGAAGCTGTCAGTTATTAATCACATCATTGTTTACACATGTATAAATTGGGGAAAATATTATCTGCCTCATGAGATAGTTGAATTAATAGGTTGGGTATTATTATTTTATTATTATTACTATTATTAATTACCATGGACAATATTTTTTTGCAGTGATCCATACATTTTATTACATTTTTCTTATTATTTTATAAAAATACAAATGTAAAGCCAAAAAAAGTAAAAGGGCTAATACTACAGTTTAGACAAAAACTAATAACATTAAATGTATCCAAAGCAGTGACTCTTGAGATAAGCATACTAGAGCAGCTGGTCAACAGGAGATTGAATTGTGAAGAAAAATAAGGTAAAAGAACATGTACAGATGACTGAAAATACATCAGTGAAAACTGAGTCAATATATTTTTATGAATAAATGTTTCCAAATTTTTCAGGTAGATATCCAGAAGAGGGATTTCTGGGTTATATGGTAGCTCTATTCTTAATTTTTTTTGAGGAACTTTCATACTGTTTAACACAGGGGCTATACCAGTCTATATTCCCACCAGCAGTGAATGAGGGTTCCCTTTCCTCTACAACCTCTCCAGTACTTAACAGGTACGAGGTGGTATTTCATTGTAGTTTTGATTTGCATTTCCCTTATAGCTAGTGAGGTTGAGCATGTTTTCATATACCTGTTGGCCATTTGTATGTCTTATTGGGAAAAGTGTCTGTTTAGATCCTCTGGTCATTTTAAAATTGCATTGTTTGGGTTTTGTTTTTGCTGAGTTGTATGAGTTCCTTATATATTTTGCATATTAGCCCCTTATCAGATGTATTGTTTGCAAATATCTTCTTCCATTTGGTAGGTGGCCTTTTAAAACAACTTTTATTTACTTCATTGTTGAAAGTATTGCAGACAAATCCCATTTCTCCCCCTTTACCCTCCTCTCCCCATCTCCTACTCCACCCAAGGCCTTCACCTGCCTATTGTCTGTGTCCATGGGCTGTGCATATATGCTTATAAGTTCTTTGGTTGATCTCTTCCCACCCTCCTTCCCCACTTCCCTCTGAGATCTGTCAGTCTGTTTTATGCTTCCATGTCTGTGGCCCAATCTTGTTCATCAATTTGTTTTGTTCCTTAGATTCCACATATAAGTGAGATCATGTGATGTTTGTCTCTCTCTGACTGGCTTATTTCACTTAGCATAATATGCTTTAGGTCCATCC